ACTTCCAAAGGAACTGGGAGACGCAGAGCTCAGCTGGTAGCAAAGCCAAAGGGGTCATCTCTGGAGTGGGGAAAGGTATTGTGGGGGTTTTCACCAAGCCCATCGGAGGAGCAGCTGAACTCGTCTCCCAGACTGGATATGGTGAGTCAAAGTTCAGAAGCTGTGTTGGAGGGCTTTCAGCCGTTAAAGCCTGATTAGTGTTGTTTATTATAATAGCCCCCTGTGGTTCACAAACGTACAAAACATAGGAAAATTAAAGGAAATTGGAGCATAATTCAAAAATGATGACAGACATAAATAAGAACTACTGGACCATTGTCATGTCTGGCAACGAGCTATGTCATTCTGTCATTTTTTGTCAATATCTTTGGCCTGTAGAGATGCTAACTTTTACGTCCTTAACACACAAGCACATTATTACTGCCACACAGCACTAAACTGAAGTGTAAATAGAGATTCTGCCATGCAACAAGGTCTCAAGTTTAACACAACTCAACAAATACCACTTTCCAAGGAGCCTTAGGCAACAATATTCTATTAAACACATATATGAATTCAAGTTAGTGAAGCCAGGAAAATTGCAAATCTACCGGTGGATGTACAATTTCTCCCCTTTTCTCCTCTTGGTTCCTGCCAGAAGCCAAGTGTTTATTAGGCCACACCTCCAGTAGTACTGTAGGACCCAGGAGAGAACTGCTGAAAGATCCCCTGCTGCACACACGCGCACAAACACTTGCATATACAGGCAGTTACGGTCTTTGGAGTTGGTTTGTTTTTTATTGGGGGTAGAAGATACGGGTGGGAGTTGAGGAGTGTGTCAGAGGGTGGTGTGTGTTGGCGCTAACAGGTCTTGGCTGTAGCACATAAACTACCAACGAGGTTAACGGCTCTGTATAAGAGCAATGACTCCCTGGGGCCTGGCTCTGATCCTCTGAGCTCTGCAGAAAACAAACACACAAACACAAACGTGTGCATATACGTGTGGGTCCACGTGGATGCACACGAGTACACACAAAGGCGCTGCTGCAAGACGTCTGACTGACCAGCAGTCCACATCGACACTCGCCCTGACAACATACACCAAAAACCTCAATCTGCAGGTAAAATATGCAGATAAACCGATTGATTTTTAGCAGAACTCTGTCACATCCTGTCTTATGAAACATGTCAATATTACCCCCCCACACATACACACACACACACACACACACACACACACACACACACACACACACACACACACACACCACACCACACACACACACACACACACACACACACACACGCACTTGCAAACACCCACTTGAACAGCATTGCAGTACCAATGCCGTGACATCATTAATGGATCTCACTGTGTTCTTTATGGCTCTGTTTTAACTACTTGATGACTTCACTGGCCTGCTGCTGCTGATCTGCTGACAGCTAGAGTGGGGTGAAGGAAAACTGACCACACGCACATGGGTTATGAACTCACTCTGCTATGTACACACAGAGCTATCCTGATCAGAATATGAAATGTACATTAGTAATAATGCACTCACACACTAACAGAAGCTGTCTTTATCTATCAAATGTCTTTTCATCAGCTTGGATTTAGATCCAAGTGAGAACGGTACCCGTCTGCCTTGTCGATCGCACATTATATTTAAATGCATGTACACAATCTACCACACTGTCAAAAACAGAAGTGTTTATGCTGAATGTCTGTACGTTTGTCTTTGTGTCTCTTCTAACAGGGATCCTTCATGGAGCAGGACTGTGGCAGCTTCCTAAACAGTTGTACCTGCCTACAGAGGAGAAGTCGGCTCAGGCCCCAAACAGCCACCTTAAATATGTCTGGTACGACCCCCAGAGCCTTTCATTTCTCCTGCAGGCTCCTCCTTTGCTTTTGTCCAGCTATTCGTTAGAAGTGGGACATGTGTTCTCGCCTTTGCTTTTCTTGGACTCTCTCCAGGATATGCCGTTGTTTTTCTCCCCCTTAACTCTCATCATTTTTGCTGTCTTGTTTAAAAAAGCCTTGGAGGGTTCATTACCCACTTTCCAACAAAAAAAAAAAAAAAAAAAAAAAGTCTGGAAAGATGTTTGACCTTGATCCCACACATGGTAGCCAGCCTGCCCTCCCGTGTTCTCATCGAGCCATGTTAAAAGGTTTTTATAAGCACGCTGCCAAAGCCGCCAGCTAGAAATTGTTCTTGTTGTTTAACTATGAGGCTATCCAGAGATGTTTCCCAGTACCATCAGATGGAGGAGGAACACCTTCCTCTTGTGCTGGAAAGGTTTGGAAGTTGGGGGAGACTCAAAGATTTACAAAGTTTACATGTTGTGCAAAGCAGAAGGTTACCATTGGGTCCTGTGTTGTAAAAATATGGCTTGAAGTACGGCTGTATCGACAGCAGTGCGTCAGATCTGAGTGTTTTGAAAATTCCAGTATGCTCTCTCCGTGGGACACTTAATATTATCATAAAAATTTATAAGGCTCTGTCTCCAGAAGGTTATCAGGAGCTGTAGAAAAAGCATTTATGGCATTTTATAATGAATTTTCCGCAATTTAGTTTGGTTTCCATAGCTATCAAACATTTACTTCTAATAGCATTCAGTGTTGACTGTCAACTGCCATGAGGAAAGAGGCCAAATTTGAGATACAATATTTCTTTAGGACATTCCACTTTAGTTGTCATCACCCGAGGGGTTAGCAGTATGCTGTGCTAATGTTAGGGGGAGGAGGAAGATGGGGGGGGGGGGGGGGGGGGGGGGGGGTATAAAAATATATGAACACTGAGATAATGCTCCCCTGCGGTTTTATCCATACAGGATTGCAGTCAAACTGGTTTCCATCAGGCATCCATCAATTATTTTTACTACTACAGGTAGCCCAGACACTTGAGGGGTCAGACTGTTTGAACAGAGTAACACTGAACAGAACCAAACTGTCCCTACTGTGGCTGCTTCAACATCTGCTCTGAACTTTGAACACCTGCCTTCCAAAGTAAACACACTGTCAGAGAAACATGACTGAAGACTTCAATCCCTGCGCACATTTTGTGAAATAGGAACCACACAGAGAAAATGTAAATTACTGGATGTATGCAGACACATGTGGCCACTTGTTTGTGAGTTGAGGTTAGCTGGGCACTTTGTGTGGTCTTGTGTTTCCTGGTGAAAATGTGTATCTGAAGTTAGGAGGCCTTACATTATGCATGTGTATGTACACAAAACCCATGCACGCAGGGGAAGGAAGTCACGTGTTGTTTGAGTGTTGCTTACAGTACGGAGTACAGGAGTAGATTATAGGTAAAATTTGGATTTCTCCCCCTAAATAAATAGCATATTGTGTTTAGTAATGTCATGACGCTTGCTCTGCTTTGTGACGACAGGAAGATGCTCCAGTCTCTGGGGCGGCCGGAGCTCCACATGGCCCTGCAGGTGACCATTGTGAGTGGGTCAGGTCAGGAGCATGCTGGCTGTCTGCTCCTCACCTCTGAAGTGCTGTTTGTGGTCAGCCTCAGTGAGGACACCCAGCAGCAGGCCTTTCCCATCACAGAGGTAACTGACAGTATGTTGTACATGTCATGTCTTGTAACAGTCAGATGAACCTTTCTTCAGCTGTGCAGACGGTGAAGTGAATGTTAAACATCCCGTGCTCTGCAGGTGGAGTGTCAGCAGGAGCCAGGACAGCAAGGCCACCTCACCCTCACCTTACAGCAGCAGACAGTAGCCAGCGACACAGAGGTGAGACACTGAAAGTAATGGAGCTGCACAGGCGTCACAGGGTACAAGATGATAATATTGGTGTGGAAATCTGTTATTATTCCTTTTTGTCTGGTTGAAGCTGAATATAGCCGCTCTAGTGTTTGCTTGGTATTACCATACTGTTACCAATGTGTACTGGTAATCATCTGGATGTCCTCCCTCAGGGTGACGGTGTTCGTGAGCGTCTGTCAGAACAGCAGTATCGGCGGCTGGTGGATTACGTGATGCGGGCCTCCCTGTTTCTTTCCCCCTCGGCCGCCTCTCTCCAGCTGCAGCCCCCGGTGACGCTCACTGAGCCACCGCCCTCTGTCACCAAGTCTTACCATTACCTGGTGGATCCCGCCTTCGCCAAGGTGTTTGTCAGCAAGTTCACCATGGTAAAGAATAAGGCGTTACGCATCGGATTCCACTAATGCACAGTAACACACTAAAAAAAAAATCTTTTGTTCCAAATTAAATAAAGCCTTAAAAAGTCTTGGAACAATGTACTTTGTAAAGATAATTACCCATTTCTGCAAAACATATGACCAAGTAACCACTTGGTCATCTGCGCCTTAGGAATGTATAAGATTCTTGGAAAGATACCGTATGTACTGACACAACAAACTCATAGATTGGAATTGGTTTTAATCCTAGAAACACATGTAGTGAACACTAAAACTAAGAGTTGTGTCAACTCATACTGTGTTGGACCAACAGTGTGTTTCAACTTTAAATCAGGGCTCAATCAGTGAGTGTGGAACCTCTTTAGTGTTGCAGACAGAAATACACCGCTAACAGGAGGAGTCGCTAAGATCGGTTACATTTCTATCAAAACAGTCTGATCTTTCGCTCCGCTGAATGAGCTCCAAGTATAGTGATCATGTCTCATGCCAATGAGAAGTGCAATATTATATACACACGTTGATGGATGATAGATACACCAGCTGTCAACCAAAATGTTTTTTTATAGATGTTGTAATATACTTCGACAATAACACTGTCCTTTACGTTGATGCCAGTCCTTCATGATGCAGCCATGTTGTTGTTGCCTTTTATATTGTACCACTGAGCTCTCTGTAAGATTTCAGTCTAATGCCTTCAATGTATGTAAATGTATAATATATTAATAGAATAACACTTGTTTTTATTAAAATGTTTATATATCATTGTGTATTGTGATATTGGCAAATATGAATGAAATACATGAATATACATTATTATATTGTCAGGTGGGATTTTCACAGAAGCAGAATAAATGTAAGTTCATAGATGTTTGTCACACAGCGTTTAAGAAAATATTCTTACATCATATGTAAACCCAGAGGAAGATATCAGTAGCAGCTCCGCTCTCCGTTTTCTCTCATCATGCTCCGATAACTGTGTCCGTCACCCTCATCTGTTTGTGTCCAACCTGTGCTGCGTGAAGTCAGCTCTCTGTTTCATTTCATGGTGCAGGCTCTTACACCCCCTGCAGTAGAACATGAGAGCCACTTATGTTGGAGAGGCAAAGAAACTGCTTTGTGTGTTTACATCTTGTTATGTCACTCTTCGCTTACTGTTATATCTGTTACACTGTTTACTCTCCGTTCTGGAGGAGCGACGTGAGGGCTGCTGGCGGCTGTGTTTACTGCTTGCTGACTTGACACTGCAGTCAGAGGAGTTGTCTGGAGAGAGACAGTTGAATGACACAGTGTAAAGCACAGACACTCGGCACAGTCTCTGAACGTTTTGATGGCTGCTGTATGCCTTAAGGAGTACAAACACTCCATCTCCGTCATTCCTGTACGCCCAGGCTGTCATGCTGAGCTTGTCTCTACCATGCAGGAATCAGTGATGAGCTCCATCTGTGTTCCCAACAGGATTTCTCCTCTACATCACCCCATTAAAACACAATTTGCACTATGCTTCATTTCCGTTCGTCCTCATTTACTATGGGCCGTAACTAATTCCTGCGTTAGCATCACGCTTCACTTACACGTCCACACAGCATGGGCTCAGACTAACTCCTGCACAGAACATTGACACTTAATGGACAGGCTGAAGTGGCTGTTTTGGCCGGAGATCTACATAATGAGACAGTTCTGACATATGGAGGGGGTCACTTTAATAATGCTTTGGCTTTGACTGCCAGGTAATATCAGTATCTTTGGAAATTCAGCTTGGATTTTACCGTGGGAAGGGCTACATGTCATTTCAGTTATGGTTTCCTGCATTTAGTCTAGTAGCAGCGAGTACTCAAAAGCGCTGGATAGGTTTGTTTTTTTACTGAGCTCTGGGAGACAAAGGGAGGGGTGTGTGTGTGTACCTGATGCTGTGGAGAACGAAGCTTCCAGCTGACTCTGTCTCTTCAGCAGCACCTCCTCTCTCTTCAGAGCTGCCATATACTTGGAGTAGGACCACGACAACTGAGGGAACATTTCCAGAAATCCAGTCAAATTTAACATGATTAGAAAAACGGTTCAATTAGAGGATCGAGTTCCTCCTTTTATAGTCTGCGGTTGGAACTGATGAGGCCTTGTTTGGACTCCATGCTGTAATTGAGTTTATCTTCATCACTGCATCACTTTATTTTAATATGTTGTGCTTTCAGATAGTTATCAAAGGAAATCATTTAATTTGGTCTGGCTCCCTTCATATGATACATTTTACACAAACACATCTACAGCTTTATCTTCATAATGTTTCCATCATAGTGCGCCTTACCGGCTGTGTGGGGGTCAGCAGCACTCTACTTTGTGTCCTTGACTGCTTTTTTTCGCTTCTTCCCTCCTGTTCTTCAACCTCATCTTCGTCATCTGTCTCTTCCTCTGTAAAACTGGACTCTGGCCTCTCCAGCTCTTCCTGTATCAAAAGGTCAGACTGAATAGAGTTAGTTTTTACCGAACACTTTCCTTTTCTCAACACTGTTCAGTATTGGAAGTCGCTCGTCATCCTCTATCCCCACAGTATGGACTATTTCCTCACCTGAGCTCGCCTCCTCGCATCCTCTTCGTCCTCCTCCTCTTTTCTCCTCTGTCGCCGTACTCGGGCTCTGTGTTTGACTCGTTTCTCCTGCAGCAGAGGAAGGAGTTGCTCTTCTTGGACACTGCTGCTCAGTTCTTGAAACTCGGGCCAAAACTTAAGCAATTCAGTGAACACTGACATCTACACATGCAGAGAGAAAGCACACACACATGAAGCCTACATACCTACTGACAGAAATACAATACAAACCATACTCTCAGACACTACCTGTGCCTCCCTGAAGATGTAAGGGCCCAGTTCATGCCGTTTTTCCAGAATGTGCTGGGCCTGTTCAGGAGGGATGTCTATCTGCAGGGCGGGGGGCATTGACGAGTGGATAAAGCAGTTAATGATGGTGGAGATCTTCTGCTGGATGGTGGCCTCATCACTGTGGGAATGACAGAGATCCTGCGTACAGGAGAAATGAAACGTGGTAGAAAGTAGCGGTTACACATTTTCTCAATCAGCTTCTCACTATAAGCAATGGGACCTTACATGGATACACAGTTTTCACATGAGGAGCAGTGTGTTATTTTTACTGCTCCTCTCACTGGTTTGAAGTGGGACTAAGTTGGAAAAATTATGTCAAAAGTGATGTCACATACTTGTGTGCACCATTTAGGATTTAGCAACATTTGAATCAAAATCAGGCCAACCACACCCACACAGCCCTGATGAAGCAGATTAGCTGAGAAAAAAAACAGTATTGGTTTACTAAGAGTTCAAGAAAACTTTAACTTTGCGCTTATTTAGTCATGAATATGTAATGTTTTAGAGAAATACTTTGCTTTAAAAGGTTAAGAGCAACAATACTATTGGTGAGCAGCAGATTTTAATAACTTCACAATGTGTCACATTACACTTAATCACCCACACACATCTAGGACAAAAAAATACTCTGCATGAATAAATAACTTGTCTGTTTTACCACAAACAAAGTTGACTCGTTCTCCCACACAGGAAAAATCCAGAACTATAAAATATACAAATGTATCTTAATATCAGTTCAAAAGTTTAACTTCTAAATTTAAGATGGCAGCTGCTTCCCTGAAAAGTCAATTTTCATCATAGTTAATAGAAGGGAAAGCTGAGAGAAAGTGATCTTGTTGCAGGTACAACATGTGAGCCACCAGCACAGTCTTTTACCTTGTATCTCTGCACCTCCAGCCAGAAGTGCACGTCATTTTCTAGGAAGTCCCCCTTCAGAGAGACAAAGTGCTGGAACTGCATACAAGAGACGGGGTTAAGTAGGATCCGTCGAAACAGCAGGATCTCTTTAGAAGAACTCATCCACAAGCCCTCAGCCTGCGAGGAGACACGGCAGAGGAAGGTTGGGTTTTTAGGGACACTGTAGGCTGTTAGTTTTACCTTTTCCAGACAGAAAACATCTCCCAGGGATAAATAAAGTACACATACATATGTTTAAACACACATTTGTACAGTGTGCTCCTGAACAATAGCAGTACAGATAATCTGTGACCTATGAGCTACAGTCTTAGCTCACAGAAAATTGAGATAACCATCTTTGATTCAGAAAACCTGCTCTTTGCCAGTGATGAGATAATGATCCTAAAGATGATAGTCACAATCATGTATGAAAACTCCTTCCTGTAATCATCCGGCTAAAAATGTGAAATGTTTTATATCTGTGTCCTGCTGTGGAGCTGAGATGAGAGGACGGGAACAGAGCTGTATGGAAAACACTCCAAACATTATTAAAGGAAGGTTAGTAATGCTGATGCTTTAATCTTATTTATCCTGGATCCAATTTGGGAAAACTAGTCACAAGGCCAAAATGGTGTTTGACAAAGCCAGTGCTTGAAGCCAAGTCATGAACTAAATCACACAGGCTTTCAGGCCAGGAAATGCCTTATTTCTCTCCATTCAAAATATCCAGCTTCCCCAGAGGACTTCTCCCTCCTTACCTTCCAGGCTTCTCTCCTCGTTCTGCGTCGACGGTAGACGTGCTGTGAGAGCCTGTCTACTGCTTGGGGCTACCACACACAAAACACACACAAGTCAAAAGTCAGAAATAGAGTAAAGTGGCATTAACAGTCACTGGAACCTTCTCAAACCTCTCTGCTCTGCACTCTGCTGCTCTTTGTCACCGGCAGAAACTAAAGCTCCGTCTCCTCTTTTACCTTTAACCTTCCTGGCGTCTTTATTTCCCCTAATCTCCTCTTCGAGATCGTTACCTCTCTGATGTCGTCTCTGCTACCCCCTCCCGACCTCCTCTTCACCTCTTAACCGTCTTTTCCACCCTTCCACACGTCTCCTCCTCCAGCATGTAACGCTAAACTACATCTACCTCTCATTACTTAATGAGAGGATCCCTGTGACCAAACATAGTTAACTTGATAACGTAATGAGGCAGAGCAGCTGAATCTGCGGTTCATGTGTTACCACCTGATGAGGCAACCTGAGAGAGCGACTGCACAATGACAGCGTTTAGTGGCATTTCATAGCAGAGCCACTCTCAAGCCCGCTATACAACAGAAAGCAAATTAAATGCCAAATTACTGAATGCCACGTACAATTAATTGTACGCCAATATAATATATAGCCAATATAGTAAGCATGCAAGTCAGAGATGGCAATAGGCCCAAATTTCGTCCACTAATTGGAATCTCTGATCCACTAAGAAATGAGAAACAGCTCCAAGATCTGTTTCTGTCAGATATCCTGCTCAATAAATATCCATACTTTATAAAGTAGCAAAAGCTATTATTTATGGTCCTAAACAAGCTGGAACACATCAAAACCTCAAGGTCACTGCTTGTAATCGTCAAAGAATTTGTATGCTTTTCCAAAGTGGTGGCCACATAAATCCACCATGCAAATAATGTTCACAAGCACTTGATGGTGACGTTTGACTTCTAATGACTTATTTACTGATCGGGCTTTAACCACAGTTAGAGAGGTTTCACAGCTGTCACTGGTCTCCCAGCATCTACTGCTGACATCATCATGGAAGCCCATTAGTTAACTGGCTGTGTGTTAATAATGACTAAATACTGTTTAAACTTTCATCCATTCTGTAAATTACTATACTTTGTGTAAAAAAGCTGAGTTGTGTTTGCCTTTACCTGTAGTATCCTCTAACCTGATAAATTTAAATGCTCACCTGGACCAAGTCTGTCCATTCAACATAAGGCCACAGCCAGCAGCCAAACTGGTTATCTTAGACTGGAAACAGCTCCCCTAACTCTGTCCAAAGGCAACAAAATCCACCTACCTGGACCTCTAAAGCTCACCAATTAATACGTTACATGTTGTTTGTGCGATCCATGCAAAAACCGAGGTGGAAGCACAGACTATTTCTTGTCTGGAACTTCATAAAGTCTCTACTGGTTTCTTGGCAACTGCACAGAGCCAAGAACATCTGCAGCACATAAACCCCCCCCCGGTAAAACTGCAAAACTTTTTGTACAGTTTCCAATCTTTATGCTAAGCTAAGCTAATTGGCTGCGGCCTTATATAGAACGGAGAGACATTGGAGTGGTATCAGTACTCTCATGTAACTCTCTGCAAGAAAAGCTAATCGGGACTTCTGCTCTGAGATCATCAGTTAGTCGTGTCAGTGTTAAGCGTCGGAACGTCCACCTTTGGTTTGTGTTTCTGTCGCTCTGTGAACTCTTCTGTGGACAGGAACAGAGGCAGCCATTTCTGTTCAATGTGACTCCTGACGATTTCCTGGATCTCTACAACAACTGGGTTTGAGAGACATTGTAGCTGCAGACGCTCCAGTCCACCTGCCAGACGCAATATCTTTAAAAACACACACACACACACACACAGAGAGAAAGAACATAAGCAAGACTCAGTAAAAGACACAGTGGAGGCAGGTGGTTGCATGTGTGTTCATGTGTTTGATATGAATGCTAAATCTGACTGAAGGTACACGTCTGTAGATTTCAATAAAACAGATGAGGAGGTGGACAAACTCAAAAACTACCCACAGCGAGAGAAACTCATCTCCTTCCTGACTCCTGCTGTGCTGTTCATCATTCCCACAATCCCTCTGTTCTCTTCCATCTCCCCTGTCTGCTTTCTGTCTTCATACATCGATCTGGCCACGTCTCCCTATTTATATCTCCTTTATATATTTTCTCTCATCTCATTTTGCACGGGCTTCAGAAATTAGAACCAGTCGTGGCACTGGAGTGGGAGTCCGTAGATGAAAGGAGGCCAATCTGTGACTGGTTGACTGAGTGATTGAGAGAGTGAAGGGCCAAAGCAGTAAAGCTGTCAGTCTCTCTACATAGCTCACGCAGACAAGAAACCAACGCCGAGAGGCAGGAGCGGCAGCCAGACCCAATCGTACAGAGTTAGAAGCGTTAGAATTAGATTAAATTTTCTTCAATTGCAGTTATGATCATTATTTTGATGGTATTATTGAGATGAGGATGACAAAGGTCATGCACCAGAGTTGAAGTCATGTCAACAAGTGCACTGTATCGCTCTCTCTCCCAGTGTGCCTCAAGAACACTCTAGCTAAAAGTAACAGATAAAAAAGGACCTACTGGTCCACTTCTATGAAAATTGTTGCTTAACGTAACTAATAATTATAATAAGACAATAATGTTAAAAAAGATCCAGTTTAAAATCAGTTCAAATGAACACATTTGGAACATGCAGTGATGTCGATGAAGGGTTCTTGAGTTTTTCTGACAATCACTGTCCTATAACACAGAAAACAACCCTCGGTTCTGTGACAGTATAATAAATACTACATTGCGACCATCTCTAGTGTCTCAAAAGAAAAACAGGCTCAGTGTCCCATCTGCTTTTCCAAACACAACATGCCCTCTCCTGCAGTAATCCTAGAATCCAGAAAACTAATCTCAGACTATAAATGTCAGGAGAGATTTCATCCTACTGTCATTGTTACTAGAGCTGATCATCTTTGTCTTTCTGGATCCAATCCCCCACTCTTCTCCTTCTTGTTTTAATTCTAACCATGTCCTCTCAGCCCCCACTCCCCACCGCCACCCTGCTGTCAGAGCTGTCAGCATGAAGTCTTCAGGATGCGAGAGAAGGGAGATGGGAAAATGTGTGAGCCACAGCAGCCTCTGTTTGGGACCAAAATGGTTACGATACAATAAAACTAACAATATGTTCAATCATGGGATTGACTGACGTACATCGTCCTGCTGTTCTGGTGTGGCGGGGCTGTCAGAGCTAAAGAAGTACTTCCTGTTGAGGTATTTGTTTGCAATGTGAGACGACCTCTCTTGTCTGATAGCTTTGTCCTTCTGAGGAGTCCTCCTGTACTGCTCCAGATCCAGCCAGCATGTCAGATGGATACTGAGCAGAAACACACATGTTCAAAACCACCATGTTATTTTCAAATAAACTCCGTGCATCATGTACATCCTGCAAACAATACACTTTTGGGGCATTTTCATACTGCCTTCATTTCATTTTAATGTGAATATGATGCACACTTACAAGTCAGACAGAGTGTGGCGCTATAAATCTATTGCATATACATATTTAGGTAAAGTCTGATACAAAAACAGTGTGGTTATACAGCTCACCTGGCGTCCTGATTCTGTAGGAAGGACATAAAGTGCCCAATCTCATGGCGGTGACGTAGTAAGGAACCAAGACGGTAACCCTGGTAATTTGGAGACACTCTGGACCAAGAGTCAGATGCTTGGCGGCCCTTTGAAAAGGGAGTCGAAAATGTAATAGGAGAGGGAAATAATATGGACCCGCATTGCTCCACCTGTAGAGGAGACACAGCAACAAGAGGGAGTGAATAAGTGACAGAGATGGAGCAAGAAAGAGGAAAAATAAGGTGTGGTGTAAATTCTTAAGTCATTTTTCCACATCACATCATACATCTTTGATGTACTCAAGTCAGCGTAAAGCAGTCACATGGATCATTTCATCTATATAACAGCACTACGACACCACTGTAAATGGCATGTTCAAGCCAAGTTAAATAGTGTTGGAACATTGTTACAAAGCAATACATAAATACTGGAAAGAGGCCATTTTCACATTAATGTTTACATTAGCTGTTTTATGCTCACCGGTGTGTGTTTATTGGCTATTAACAGAGCACCAACATTTTATAAATCTGTGGAGCTCGTGGATGCTGGCTGACCTGTTTCAGTCGGCTCTCTGACTCTTTGTACAGACTCTGGAGTTCCTTGTACTCCTGATTGTCAATGCAGCGTACCTCTTCCAGCACACACACCTGGAAACAAATACACATAAAGCCAATTACAGCTGCAATGATTAGGTGATCCCTTAGTCAATCAGAAGAAAATTAATCTAATTATTTTGATAATCAATTAATTGCAGTTATTTCTAAAGCAGAAATGCCAGACATTTGGAGATCCTAGGTTCTCAAATCTGAATATTTGACAGTTTTGGTCTGTTAACAAGGCATTTAATGACATTACTTTTTACTTTTAGACATTTTGATGAGTATTTTATACCTTTTCCCAGATGTTTTATAAACAAACCATTATTCCAGAAATTAATCTGTAGTTTATCATTTTTAGTTGCAGTTCTAAAGTCAAATCAGGCACAGAACCACACTTAGGAAACCTTAGACTTAAATTAATAACTAATCAAATTGATCTTTACAATATTCATACATGCGCCACCATAAACATTATTAGACATTTAATTTCGTGTTGTGAAATTTCTGTGGGAAATCCTCTTTCCTCACATCACGTCAGATAAACAAATGCTTGTCACATAGTTTATCCATTTGAATGTCTTTGATCAATAGACCTTAGTGCCAGCTAACCTGTGGACTTACTAAAGGAAAGAGTTCAACTATGGATGTACTGTAGTCACCTTCCTGAAAGACTCTTTGTCCCTGCTGACCAGGAGCGTCCACGGCTCCAGCAGGATGTTCAGTGTGTGTTCCTCAACCTTGTCAAACAGCTCCTCAAAAGCAGGCATCATCCGGTCATACACCTCCCTTCTGATCTCCTCATCAACACCAATGCTCCTCCTGGCAGAGCTGAAGAGATAGGTGGAGTAAAGGAGCTGAGTAGAGAAGAGAAGAAAAGAGAAGATCATAAAAATGTCATCGCTTCAGAAACATTTCTCCTCACAGCAGCCATCACTTCCATCACCACCACTGCTCAGTGCTCTCATACACAATATTCACTATCTTTCATCACTGCTGCCATCACACCACATAAATGTCACCCATTTAACCCTCTTGGCCACGGCACTATGGAAAGATCATCGAAAAGTCATTCCTCTGGTGAACTAAAGGTTAACTGAAGGAAAATAGATTTCACTGTGAGGTTTTCTGGACCGAACGGCTCAGCTTTCCTCCGTGGTCCAGCTGTAGCCAGACAGGGTGGTTCTGGGTGACTGGACTGGCGCAGAGCTGGGGGGGTCTGACTCACTTGTTTTTATGGGCGTTTAAATCTCTCCACTTAGTGCGGGGTAAAGAGGGCAAAGAGGAGAACGGGAGTGGCAGTCCAAGAGAGCACACAAACAAGAGCAGGTGTGTGTGTAAAAGGGAGGGCAACAGAAAATGTTACTTTCAGTCTCTGTTTCATTGCCTTTGTCATGACTTTGTATTTTATTACTTGTTGATTTTCATAAATGTTTTCAATTTTTTTCCCTCTGCAACTTTAATAATTTATCGTGATTCATGATGATGAGTGATTTTTCCTGGCATCCTCTCTAAAGGAGGCCTCTTTATCTCTCTGGATATTGTCTTCCTCTGTATGAAGTATCTTAATTCAAGTTTTGAATGAGCTAAAACTTATTTTCTCTGCACAAAACATGAGTTGCACTAATGTACCCATTTTTTATGACTTCAAATTAGTTTGATGTTAAACAGTTGGCCTTGGCAGCAAAATTTTGCCTAAGTAGCCTGAGAAGAAATCCTGAAATCCTTAACAATTTATTGTCTGGAATAGTGTGTTGCTATTTTTTTGGCAAAAGGAAAATTAAGTTATCGTAAGAGGAGTGTTGCACTCAGTCTTAATTTGAAACTGGCTTTTTTCATAAAACACTAAGCGATTCATTTATTTCTAAAAAAAATGGATTATTGCTTTGTAGACAAAAAATGTATTTACTTTATTCAGGCTTTTGTCATATTACTGATGTTTCCAAATTGCAGGGTTTGTGATAGTTAAATAGCCGTCACACTACCTTGACATGTGTAGTGTACATACGGTGTTTAAACCAGACAGCTTATTTGTCAGCAGTCTGTGTGAGAAGTTTGTAGAAAACCCTCACGTGAAATCTTTAGCAGAGCGACTTCACTCTTGATCACGTGCGTGTGTTTGTGCGCGCTGACCTGTGCCTCTCTCTGTACTCTGTAGGGGTCCAGTCCGTCCTGATAGAACAGCTCATGGTAGTGCTGCAGGTCAGTCCAAAAGTTAACTGCATTCTCCCATAGCTGAAACAAAAAAAGGTTTATCACGTATTAAAGATAGTATTGGTCCACATAATAACAATTACATTTACATGTGCAATCACGATTAAACTTGCAGTAGCTGCTATTTCACCTGGTTTCCAGATTGTTCACAGAAGTTTGTGAAGTATAAGCCGGCACACAAGTCAACGCACAGAGCCTGTAACATCTTTTCCATTCTGCTGCTGCCCAGTAACTGACTTCTACTAGAATGAAACTGATGAAATAAATACACGGAAGAGAAAAAACTTTTAAAACAATCAACACAACACTTTCAAAAAAATTACTTAAACCTAGGGCTGCAGCTGATGATTATATTCATTATTGCTTAATCGGTCAGTTTTTCAATGATTCATCTTTTACACAACAATGTGCAAAAACAGTGAAAATCCCAATGAACGATTTTCATCCAAGTCTAAAATGTTAAGATATAAAACAGAGAAATTTAGCAAATCCTCATATGCAAATGAATGTTTGGCATTTTTGTTTGATAAATGACCATATGACAGTATGCGATACTGATTTGCATCAGAGGAAAGGACAATTACCTACATCAGAGGGCTCTCTTCCCAACCTTAAACCAAGTGGCACCAAGTGGTATCATATCCTAATCCTCCTACCTGGGTATGGACAGTATGAGGCAACTGGGGCAGGCACGTGTCAGGGCGGAGGGAAGGCAGGGTCATAGAGCCGTGGTGGGTCTGTGTGCCTAACAGAGGGCTAACACACCACTCTGTACACAGCCATAGATGAGGGAAGTCATCACGGTCTTCCTGAACACATTGGGACGTCCAGAACCGGGGAGCCCTGCGGGGGAAGGGGATGTGTAGCATGTGCTATATTCAGCTTATGCAAGATATACCTCATAGTATGTGGCAATTAAAAGCAAATGCCTTACAGTATATGTTAATTACAAAAGTCATTGTAGCTAGTCATTTATATGAACACATAAAAGTATATTACTAGACACTGCACACAAATGTGATCAACATCACTGAATTCTGTGAATCTCACCAGTAGAAGAGCAGCGACTCCGTGAGGAAGGGTTGAACTGAGCGCAGTTTCTCCTCTGTCCAGCAGGGGGAGGTAGTCAGCCCCAGTCTGGACAGCAGCTCCACGTTTAGACTGCTTTGGCTGCTGCTCAGCAGGTACCAGCTCCTCATTAGGACCAAATACCTGATCAAAACACCACATAACATTTGATCCTTTTATCAGCATCAATATATTTCTAAAAGACATGCAATGTTTATTTTTTAATGGCTGCATCTGTCATCCAAAGTGTTATAAGTTCAGTATCAAACCCTAACCCTTAAACAGACTTCAGTTCAGCACAATAATAATAAAACAAAAACTGTTTCATCATGTTTACCTGTTCTTCCGCTCTCTGTTCTGTGTCGCTTTCAGTCTCTCTATATCCATCCAAAGATTAAGAACCTTCTCTCCTGGTGTTCCCTGCAAAAACTCCTTAAACTCATCCAAACCTGGTGTTTTTCCATGGAAACAGGTACCATGGCAATAAATATCAAGGCCATTTTCCTGCTCTGTGCCCCTACTCCCCACCACCCTCTTCTTGTTAAACCAGTCAGTCTTTTCTCCCACTCCACTCCCCCTCTTGTCTTCTTGAATTTTCTCTGTCTTTCCCATCAATCTGTCTTGCCGGCAAACTTTACATTCGCAGGAACTGCTTGTGCTGGTACAATTTGTCTGGTCTCCTGACTTGCTGAAACAATCAGTAGTATTTGCCTGGCTCTGACTATCCATCACGTTCAGTGCATTGTTAAGCACCTGATGAACCACTTTGGCAGCCAAGTATTCCAGATGTAGTTCAGAAGACTCATCATTCTGGCCAGCCGATGGCGCTGCGAAGGAGAGGCTCAGCTCTGTTTGCGAGTTCCCGAGTTCCTGGGTTTTCTCAGATTTAAAGTTAGAGGAGGAACATGAGGAGGACAAAAAGGAAAAGGTATATGGATTCTCTGACTCTGAACAGCTGGAGAAACATCTGGATGATTCACTGCATTTTGTGTTGATTTGTTCCTTCTGGCCAGAGAATAGACATGTTGCGTTCCTCACAGACCCTGAAAGAGAGAACCATAATTCTTATTTATACCTAGACTACATAGTTGTGCAAATGGGAAACAGGCCAGCATATACCTTGTTCTCCTGAAATGTTCTCTTGAGAATGTGAGCGTGTTAGGACTTTCAGTGCATTGTTATTTTGCTGGTCAAATTGGGAGGAAGAACGCAGTTGTGGGGCTGACAGGGTTGTTCGACCTGAGCTGCCTTTCCTCCTCTGGATACAAAGGTTTGCGTCCCACTGAAACAACAGCTTGGCTAGTCTGAGGAAGACCAGAAAGAATTAATACACCACCAGTCACAGAATACGCAAGCAAGTGTTTTTATAAAAGCATTAATTTTATGATAAAGTGGAATTAAATTAGGTTGTTATCTCTGTGTCACTGCTTCTACAGAATGTGTAGGTTTGTGTCAGTCATCCGATCTTAGTATGTGGCCCTAAGGCTTCTCGCAAGGTGCATAAGGAATAAGGCAGACTACAACAGAGGAGGAAATAGGGTCCTAAGGCTCACAAAGTCTTAAACAGTCTAAGGATTCCTGGATGATACACAATAAATAAGGTATATTGAATTTTACTGCAACACTCCATAATCACTGACAAAAGCAAGTTAGTAAGCCAGTAATGTTCAGGTTGTAGCAGAACTAAAGTAATGAGTTAGCAACAGCAGAAGGAAAAAGCATGAAATATCAGACACACTGCATTGAACTGGACATGAGTGACTGAATAAAACTGAACACTACGTTTAGTAATAATCTAAAACTATTATAACAACAACATGATGTAAACCACATAAAAATATTAAAATCAATGCAGAATATAAGCGGTAAAGTCACATTTGTATTCTAAGTCTAAAGCACTTGTAGTACCTGTATTCACTGTAGAAATCACTTCGAAGGAAGAAGGGCAATCTTTCTTTCATGACCCACTGAATTCCTTGCTCTCTGTCCAGGCACTGCAAAGGTCAGGGAGACAGATTCTTCAAGTCAACCGTCAGAAACTACAGTACGGATTCCTGCTAGTCTCCAAACCCAAATATTTCCATCTATTGATTTAAACATAAAGGCATTACTCACTACTTACACAAACAGTGTAACTGCTGTCCACTGGAGGGGTTTTGGCCAAAGCTGTGGTGTCACCAGTTTGGAGTTGTGATTTGCAGCGGTGTAAGTCTGATCGGATTCTTCTACAGACAAACTCTGCTGCCCCGCTCACCACCTCAAACAGCCCGGTCTCCTGGTTGTACAGCAAAGCCTCTGGGAAAGTCTGGAAATAGATGTAAGGGTATAATAATGTTGTAGGAATTTTGTCAAAAACATGCTACATCTAAAACAGTAGGGTTTTTTTTGTTTTTTATTTTACCGGCAGACTTAAGAAATCATTGAAGTAGTGAGCCAACACGTTGTCAGAGGTCAGAGAGTTCTCCTGCATGGAGACAAACAATAAAACATGAGTCTAAAAAGGAGCATCCAGGCAAAGTATAGACATGCTGCTAAACCCAAACTGCTGTTACAGATTACGATAACTTATGAAATGTAAATAAAAACGTGTACTCACAAAATTACCAGCAGTAAGATGGGGAAAGTCTAAAATAAAATAAAGTAAAACATTTATCACCAAACCAGCATCAGGACTTAAAATCCTACAAAGTTAATTTCTTGAAAGTCTTACCTGTTGAAATTACTTCACACATAGTTCACTTCAAAAATACAAATGCCTGCAAAGTATTTTCAAACCGGCTGCCCAGAAAGTGGAGCCTGGGAGTGACATTTGAACATTCACCAGCCTCAAACCTCTCGTTGTAATTACAGACACACTGCAGGTTGCTATGGAAGTGGACTCATTTTCAAAACACAGGGGCTAGTAAAAGTTTAACTAGAGAAGACCAAAGAGAAACTCATACAAGTTTGACTTTCTTCTTGCAGTTAGAGACCTGAACATATGTTGTTTCTAAATTAACATAACTGACATTACTGTACCCTAAGATCACTTACATGTAGTGAAACAAGTACAATGAGGGAACAACATTGTTGCAGTTAAGGTAAGGACATACCACTAGATGGCACCAGAAACTGACAAATTCATTTCTGCAGAGGACAACAGGTAAAAGGAACAATTATTTCACAAATGAGACCCATGAGACATGTTAAAAAAAGAAATTTATTTTAAAACTGCTCTGAAAACACATTTGTAAAAGTTGAAAAGCTTAGGGGACTTTGAAAAAAACATTCTGTACAGTTGATCAATGTGTATGGGAAAGTACATCAACAGTAAAATTCAGTCATCGTCCTGCTGGTGAGACTTCCTTCACATTCATAATTAAAAAACACAAGTAAGAACTGTGTTTTTTTTTTTTAAAAAAAGGGGGGAAATACAGTATAGAGACAGGCACAAAGACATTAATAAGAAATTGCTCTCACGTACTGGCCAAAAAAACAGACTTCCTTGAATCTAGGCCTCAGGAACAAAATGCTAAAGTGACTTCGACAAGTCAAAGAGGAATATAGTTCGCCATCTGTTCATAGTCTCCTAACGTTTCGCTTACTTTGAGCGCTTCCTGGAAGTAGTATGTCCTTCTTGCGACGGCCTGCAGACTGGCTGCCACACTCTCTAGAGCCGTGAAAAGCACACAAGCAGGCCAAGCAAAACTGGAAACCACAGTCGGCTCTGCTGCACACGCCCTCCATTTTCACTGAGTGACACCTCGCAGGATGCTCACATCGAGGGCAAGGCTTGAGGCACTCATCATTGAAGAGAGTTTTGGCAACCTTTAAGAAAAAAAGAGAAAGACTTTAAATTATTAGATTTTGAATCAAAGAAATGTTTGTGAACTTCCTTTAGCAGTTCCTTCAGTAAGGTCAATGGGAAACCCCATTCACCCTCCACTGAACAGCAATAATACAACATTTTAAACTAATATTTAATATATCCAGCGGTAGAAGAATTATTAAGATCCTTTACTTTACCCTGCAGTGCTGGATTTTTGTCTCCCCCTTCTGACAGTGAGAGTAATTACACAACAGAGTCGAGGCACGCTGCTGACATATAGAGGCTGTGTAGTCATGTTGCCTCCCCTTTCAGTTCTGGCAAACCAGTCATCACTGGTTGGTATAAAAAAAAAATAAACATCACTACCGGTTCGCCAGTGTGGGAATGTGGGATTTTGAAACTCCAGCATACTGTGAAAACTGCCGGTGGCGGGCTAAATCAGCGTTGTGCAACTCGTTTGGCGAGTGCTTGAACGTAAGGGACATTCATTTATATGTAAAATTCCCATAGTAAAAATACTGATATCACACTGTAAAAATACTTTAGTAAAAGTAAGAGACCTGTATGTAAAACCTTATTCAAGAATGCAAGTGTAAACAGTAAAATGTGCTTAAAGTAGTAGAAGTTCTCGGGGCCTCTGGGTAGGGCTGGACCATTTCACCTAAAATCAAAAATCACGATTAATTGAACATTCCACCTCGTTACGGTTATTTTGTTTTTCATATTCCACTGACATGGTTTGTACTGTATATATGCTCAATTATTGAAGCCAGGTTTTATTTGTTTGATTCACAGATTTTAAAAATCGATTATCTAAATGTTAATTAATAAGGTAATGTTGACCTATATTCGGCGCATCGCCGCTGCTGAATTATGAGCGCTGCTACTAAACTTTCACTCAATTATTTAATATCAATGCGGAACTACTGATTTTCACTCACACACTGTGAGAGCACGGCAACACACGCTTTACTAGCTTCCTCTCCTCATGCATCGAAGGACATCTAAGTTATGTGACAGCTGCTGTTATAAGAGCAGCGGAGCAATGTGTGTTAGTAGAGAGTGAGTGATTGAGCGAATGAGAGAGCGAGAAAGTGTCAGCCTGGCCGTAAATGCACAGTGTAGGTCACAGTGTGTCCATTAATAAAATCACTGTTGTTTCACCGACTGCTGGAAAGTGAAGCCGGTTAGCGCCAGCTAACCTCTGCCTGACTCCGGTATGGAAGCTCAGCAAGACTGGACGGGGCGGAGTCACGTGACCACACACATACAGTAGTATGTTTTTACACGTACACTGTAGGGAAAATATTTATAAATAACCGACATGGTAAAATTACATCAGTTAGAGGCTCTGAATTTCAGTTTCGATTACTTTCAATTAATTGTCCAGCCCTACCTCTGGGATGGTATAAAATCCACTACTGGCTCTGGAACCAGTAATCGGAGCCGCCTCAGATGTGAGATTAATGTGGATGATGCAAATCACTTCTTTGCTAGGTTTGATGACCTTGACTTTTCTGCTGCTCACAAGAGCATTCTTTCATCTTTGGCATCATGTAGTCAGGAGGTCGGTAGCCCAGCAATTTTTGTAGTGCTTGTAATACCAGTCAACCACAAATTTTAGCTAAAAAAAAATAGTTTATTTTAAATTGCACACCAGCACTATTGCTTGGATTTTAGATTACCTCTTGTTACGTCCCCAGTTTGCCATATTTGATTTAAAAATAAATAAATATCTGACACAATTTTTAAAACAGCAGCACCACAGGGGAGTTTTATCCCCTTTTTTATTTACCCTCTACACCGCTGACTACAGGCATAGTCAGGCACCTTGCCACGTATGACACTGTCCTTGGTCTTCATCGAGGTGATGACCAGGCCTATAAAAATGAAATTGCCTCTTTTGTGAATTGGTGTGAGTCAAAACCTTTTACAACTAAATGTTGGGAAAACTAAAGAGCTGATTATTGACTTTAGGAGGAAGAATGAAGAGGTTCTTCTTGTGATCATAAAAGATCAGCAAATCGAATTTGTCTCGTCATGTAATTATCTTGGTGTTTACCTGGACAGCAAGTTAAATTGGAAATAAAACACAGATATTGTTTTCAAGAAGGTCCAGTCGTGGCTATTTTTCCTGTGAGCAGAAATTTGCTTTATACCTTTTATCAAGGCACTATAACCAGTGTTCTTTTTATGCTCTACTTTGCTGGGGAGGCAGCATCACTTTAGACGATTAAAAAGCCTGGCTCTGTGATTGGCCTTCCTCCTGAGTCACTCAAGGTCACTTTAGAAAAGAGAACAAGTTACAAACTAAAGAATGTAAAATAGGAAAGTGACATGAAAACAAGTTCCTCAAACTTGTGAATAAATTACTAAATGTAATTAGTAACATTACACCACTGAATATATCCAAATCTTACATAATGTCAGTCAGTGTAATCATTTTAAAACTCACTTCTAGGAATTTATCCCGTTTGCTGCTGCTTCCTGAATGTAAGGCGCTGTGCTGTAATGGGGTCAAAGTGCTATTTCCTGACTGCGGGGTGCAGTAGCTGGAGGTCCTAGACTGGGCTTGAACCGTCTTGAGGGCCGACCTTTTCAGCAGAGTGAGCCTGGTCTCTGCGTCAGGTACAGTGACAGCACCACTGAGCTACAAGACAACAGCACAAAGATTTCAACCGTTAGTCACATTATATATCCACATTGACAAGCTAGATGAAAGTTTAACAAATATTCAAATGTTACTTTACACTATATCCCATCACACAGAAACTTCTGTTGTGCTCATCTCTATGACATTAAGGTTTCATTTCAAAAAAAAAAAAAAAACAACCCGCCCATCAGTTCAATAGCAGATGTTTTTCCTTTTACAGAAAACACCTGCTAGAGGCAAACAGCAAAAGCCACAGTGTCCTATTTAACATCTGCTAACAACACAAATCAGTCTCTAGAAATATCCTACCTCAAGAGAAGCCTCCAGTTCACTCAGGTGGTTTCCTCTCTTGAAACTGGCTCTCTTGTCTTGCTGGATGATTTCATTCCAGCTCTTGCACACCTGACCACACCTGCCGAACACAAACAAATGCATGCATGAGACCAAAAGTTAAAAACTTTAATACTGGCTGTGTCCATCAGGCCTGATGTTTTGATTAATAATCAGGCTTTTTGCTCTTCGATACTAAAAACTGCATTTGTTACATAGCTTGATTTTGAGGTTTTACCTGCATACAGATATCATTTATCAGTTCAATGAATGGCAACTTTGGAATCAAGCTTCCTAATCTAGTAGGAGTAATGTATAGACGATGTGCAGAGTTATACAGTACATGAAACAACAATGATAGATAGATTTTGCTTTGTATAAGTACTGACAGCTAAGTTTTGTTGAAAACATGAACTCCTCACCTGTAGATGCTCTCAGAGGTCAGGTGACCGAGTATGACACCCAGGATGTGTCTGAGGTTCCTCTTCTTCAGCTCTGTGAATATGTCCACCTTCCCCATTCCCATCTTCCTGCCAATCAGCCCTGCCAATGGCATGGTGGTCCTGAACGTCACCGGGGTTTCAGCCAGTGCTGCTGTGGACTTCAGCTGCTCCGTCAGGCTTGGACTTTGGCCAACAAACATCTGGGCTTTCTGCTGGCACATAGCATGAACCAGCTGCAATGCTGGAGTCAGACAAAGATTGACTGGGGTTGTCCTGAGAGGAGTTACGTCTGGATTGGCAGAAGTTGTGCTAAAAGATGTCATGTTTTCTAGTTTTGTGGTGGTCGCCCTTAATGGGGTGGCATAGTCTTGTTTTGCAGAGGCCAAACTATCAGGGGTCATGCCATTACCACACCTAACAGAAAGGACGCTGCGAGGCGTGGCACTGTCCGCAAAAACATCATCTTTAGAACGTCTGTGGCGCTGATGTTCATGCTTTCTGTCTGTTGGGTCCTCATCAGACTGAGAGCCCCCTTCTTTAAGTGTAGAAAGCCTTTGCTGACGCTGCAAACGGAAGCGGCGTTTTGTCTCAGCCAGATTTGGGGTTTCACAGTTTCCTCTGGAGGCAGGGAGCAGCAGCTCCTGGAATGAGCCGTCATGGTCCACCGAGGAGTCTTGGGATTTATCAAGGGTCAGGGAACTGAAACCACTGTCCTCAGACACAGACCTGTTCCAGGATTAAAAGGGGGTTAGATACAGGCACGTTTTCAGATGGAGATGTGAAACATTTATTTATTTATTTATTAAGTGTTTTTCCAAGTATTCAGCTGGGAACATATAAAAAACAACATTTGAAAAGCCAAGTGTCATAAAAGCACATACCTTGTGTACTTGGGTGTGTGTGTGGCTGACGGTGTGAACAAGACACTTGAGCTGTCGAATACGTTATTTTTCACATCACCGATCGGTGACCGAGAGTTTTCCTTAGATGAGGCAGACAGGAATTTACTAAAGCACAGAGTCTCAATACTAATTTGATCTGAGGCAGGGATGCTTCCACTGAAATCTGCATCTGAGAGTGAAACTCTTCTCTCAAAACTGGAGAGGTGACCAGAGTTGAGTTTACCATCTTCAAGAGTGGAGGTCCTCACCTGCGTGAAGAGGAGACGACGTTTCCTGCCAGACAGGGGCAGATCCTGCTCCAATTTTAAAGTGCTTGGTGCCAATGCGTCCACCGTAGTGTCAAGAGAGTCAAACGATGCACTGAGCCAGTGTTCAGACCCGACACTGCTGGAGGATTCAGCCTTACTGATGCATGGTAATCTTCTGCTGTCAGTTTTGACATCTGTGGTGGGTTTGCACATTAGAAGTCTGTGTCGCAACAAGGAATCTCTTTTGTATACTTTAGGAGTTTCACACCAGCTAACAGCTGATGGCAGCTGTAATCCCCTGGAGTCTTTGCCCAACAATCCAGCTGGTCCTCTGCTCCTCTCCTTAGGTGTGACAGGAAGCCTGAGATTCTCTTTAGGCGTTTCATTGAATTCTACTGGAGACAAGTCAACTCCACTGGTGCTCTGTGGGCTGTGGAATAAACCTGAGTAACCACTGTCGGCGCAGTCATAACAGCGCTGGCCTTTGCAGCTCTCAAGGTAGAAGTTTGATTCAGGAGTGCATTGCATTTTCCTCCTCCTGTTCGCACAAACACAGGGTTCACCAAGTAAGGATGATGTCAACTGACCTGCAGATAACAAAACACAGAACAGAATGTGAACCTAAACTAGCTCAAATGTTGCCTGGTATGTCTAATTTGTTGTGGACTCACTTTGTGATCAGATCAGATAAGCTAAGTGATTGAAAAGTCTTTCAGTTTTTCTCAGCACGTCCATGCAGTGTTGGCAGCAGTGTGTTAAACAAAGTCAGCTGTTTCATCAGCGTTGCTATGACGGCGTGTTGTCGATTTAAATCCCCCGTCGTGTGCTCTGTGATGCCGCTATAAAGTGAGCTACAGCCGCCAAAACAACCGACCCGCCTACTTGTACACTGCCGACAGTGACCATGTCAACAACGGGGCGTGCCACTTTCATTTCATTTCTACATGCAACGTTAGTTAACACCGGTTAACTTACGAAACAAGTAGAGATTTGTCGGCAATTCAGCTTGGCCTGCGTCCCCTGACTAGGGGGGCCAGAAACCCTGCACAAAGTAAAGTTAAGCCCAATTGTTTAAATACACCAGTAAATGGATGTAGAATGTATTATAGTTAATTGCATTCAAGACTAATTGAAACTTAATTTCAAATTACAAAACACACTAATTGTAAAGGTCGCTCGGGTCCCACCGTGTGACTGTGACAACAATTAGCTGATGGGACGTAAAAAAAAAAAAAAAAAACACACCTGTGTCAATTACCGAGTTAACTGTTGCTATGGGGATTGATTCCCACCTGAAAATCTTTGTAATGTCATCCACCTTGATAAACGTAACGTTAGCCAATATTACAAACGCAATATAAAAAATAAATAAATAAATAAAATATTAGATAAACCCGTTTATATTTGAGGGTCACAACAATACAAATGTTACACGCAGTAACGTGAGCACTTAGTTATATTTAGGCTGACTGACTAACTGTTGCCTAATAAAATTCTAGTTGGAAAACATTTGTTATTAACCGTATTTTGTTTTTAATACTTACTTCTAAGGCCGTAAACCACCGTGTTGTTTAGCTCTAGTGCTGTTTCTGCTACATGTTCATCTTCAGGCAGCCGCTTTTTCAAATTTCGAGCCCACCGTTGACCGCGTCACGTGCTCACCGCGTCACGTTTCCGGTTTTGGAGCGCGTGGTTACCATAGTAACGGATGAGCGCGCGTCAAACAGCAGCAGGTAAAGTCCAACGTCCTCCAACTTTAATAGCGTTTAAGTTAAGTTAAGAGCAACGCTGACACGTACCAAGCGAGAACGATGATGTCTTAACTTAACGTTGAACGTGTAACTCACCTTTAACACGGTAGTTAGAGCGAACTTAACCTAACTTAAGCTGGTTAAAAATTCGCAATAACGTTTGGTTAGCTAACCTTAGTGAGCTAGCAAATGTTAACTGTTGCATAACATTCAGAGCTGCAAATTCTGCTGTTAACAGAACAACATTGTTTAGCAGAATAACCGTGTAAATTCTCCCCAGGCATGAGTGCAGATGCAGTTTTCTCTCTTCAAAACCAGTCCACCGCCATTGACTATAGCGGGAAGATCCCTGTGGAGCACCTGGACTATGATTACATTGAGAAGTGCAAAGATGTAAAATACCTGGAGAAGATCTTGAGAGTACTTAGGTAAAAGCCACATCACTGAGTTTGAGGTGTATATTGGTGAGCTTTTCTTCATTTAGATAATTCTCTCAGAATGGGAAAATTTATATGCAATATTGAAAAAAATACCACCTATGAATTACTATTAAACTAATAATATAGCAAATCATAGAACAGTACAGTCTGATGTCTATGAAGATTCTCAGTGATCCAGGTAATAGATATCCCACGAAGGTTAAAATCAAGGGCAACTGGACTTGGTTGAAGATACTGGAAGACGTTTCGTCCCTCATCCAAAGGACTTGAAGGAACTGAAGAAGTCCTTTGGATGTCCAGTTGATTTTAACCTTCGTTGGAGTACAGTCTGATAAACTTTACTGAAAAGATTGCTGGGAATTTAGGCTTTAAGAAATTCATATAATGTTTTACTTTGTGTGAAGGTCTGGCGATGAGGGCATTTTTCCGCATCTGATCAATTTCTGTGAGAGTCACTTGGAGAAACTGAACCCCAGGAGCCGAGCTCTCAGGAAGGAAAACCCTGTGGCCACAGCTGCCAGCCTCTCTAAAGATGAGTGGAGCCAGATTGTCAATGATTTGAAGGTATGCTACACATTGTAGTGTCTTTTTTTTTTTTTTTATAGCAATCCTGCTTACTCCCTGCTCTCTTCTTATATTGCAGTTTCTCTGAAAATGAGTGATAACATTTTAATAGTAAGTACTTTGTTCTGTACAGACATGGCGAGAAGAAACCAAAAGAACAGAGACTTCACTAACACAGCAGTCAATGTTTGATGATCTAGTGAAAGAAAACACGCCACCTATAAGAGGTTCCAATTGCTCTGTTCCACTTAGTCAGGTAATTGTCTCTAATGATGCACATAACCATGTATATTTATGTATACAAGAAAAACACTACAATTAAGTCTTATGTCATTACAGACTTCAGATCCAAAAGAAAAGAGGAATTCTTCAAAACGCACTCTCCCACGTGATTATCGAGAATGGGACAAGTGAGTCAGTTTGTCTCTCTGTGTCTATTATATTCAGAAGAAAGGACACACTGTTCCAGCAGCTGCAGACACTGTACATAGAAGGTTCCAAGTGTTTGACTTTGTAAAAAGGCCTCAAATAAGCTTATTTTATTACAATGATCCACAGTTAAATGGTTGATGCTGTTCTAGAGCATCATTTTGCAGATTATCTTCCTTCAACTAAATATATCTCACTCTGTTTCCAGGTTTGATGTGGAAAAGGAATGTGACAGAATTGATGGAAATGTGGTCAAAAATGATCCACCTGTCATTATAAACACAAGAAACCCCAAAATCAAGACTAAAGTGGATGCTTCAAGTAATGTATTATGTTTAGCACCTCATGTTTATTTTGTGGTCATTTGCAAAGCGTTATGTATTCTTCAGTTGTGTGGGTATGTGTCTGAAATGTGTGGGCTGTACAATTCATGCAGTGCTGACACAACCGGAGAAGCTCCTGCTGGCAAACCGTGAAAAGGACAAAGGCAATGAAGCTTTCAGAGCAAACGATTATGAGGAGGCAGTTGCATATTATTCCAGGTCAGGCTCTTCAAACAACCCATTTATTATAGAAAACGTTTTAAATCTCTTAAGGGGATTATATTATGTTGCCCAGCATTTAATTAGACTGCTGTCATTCATTGACTGACTTCATTCTCATTTACTTTACCTCTAAGTGTTTGTCCATTAACATCATTACAAATAAAGGTCTGTTTTATGTTCGGCCTTCCATTACAGGAGCCTTTCCATTATACCAACTGTGGCTGCGTACAACAACAGAGCCCAGGCAGAAATCAAGCTCAGCCACTGGCACAATGCCATGAGAGACTGCCAGAGGGTACTCGAACTGGAACCAGAAAATATTAAAGGTGCTTTTCCTTTTTTGTGTGTAAATAGAAATATGATTGTAATGTTGGTATTATTTAAATTGCCAGTACTTCAAAAGGTAATTACTTTAGTGAAGACCCTTTATATCATATTATCCGTACTTTGTACACACTACATTTGCAACTTTACAGCACAGTAGTAAATAGTAGCTTCGATGTATGTAATGTCTATACTGTATGTGATTTATTTGTCATCATCAGCCCTGCTACGTCGTGCCACTGTTTATAATCACATGGGCAGCTTCCAAATGGCTGCTGAAGACCTGAGGATGGTGCTTAGGAAAGAGCCGCATAATGCTGCAGCCACTGTAGGTGTTATTTACATGCCAGTTGCCTTTTTGTCCACTAGGTGTCGCTGCATTTGTGTGAGATCTTGTACTTAATAAGAGATTGTAGCTGCTGCAGGTATTAATAAAATCATATGTAGTCTGTCATTGCTGTAAATATTGTAGCTTTTCCTGTTGTTCTGTGTTAGATTGTGAACCCTGGATGCATTTTAGTTTTTATGTCCTTTAATTATGTATTAGGGATTTTAATACACTGTTGGTGAATGAAGAGAAGATGCTCCTTTTACATTAGCACCTAAGCCATTGACTGTATTCAGTAGTATATGGATGACTGTGGTATTGTTTACTAGGTGTGTTTACTTTGCTGACTTACTTAACAGACCTCGGTTGAGTTCCTAATGTGTGGATAATTTATGGTTTAGCAACTTCTGTCTGAAACTGAGAAGAAGATGAAGGAAGGTCAACCAGGACAGCAAAGCAAAGGCAAAAGAATCATCATCCAAGAGGTAGAAGAGGAAGATGACAGCAGTAACGATGCAGCAAAAGCTGAGCAGACTGGTGAGATTGTTTGAACGCCTCCATAATCAATATCTGTATCCTTGAGTTACACACACAGACAGACCATTTATAATTCCCCGAATCCATACAGAAATCTACATTATGATCAGTTTAAATGAAGGCAATGTTCTGTTACTTACGCTATACTTACTACAACATGGACAATTTAATTAGGTCTATTTTAAGAGATAATCAGCTTTTTAAATCTGCATCAGTTATGTGTTATGTGCAGCATTTTTGCAGTTGTTAAGCACTGATTCTCCAATTATTACTACTAATCTCAAATTAAAAACAACTAGATAAAGAATCTAGTGTAGTAGCTCTTTAGATCTGTGGTGGGTAAATGACTGATGACTATATTGGCTTGGTTTTACAGTAGAGTCTGACCAATATATTCAGTTTCAGTTTGTACACAAAAAAAGTTGACCTGACCTAAAAATCTGGTAATGGTTGCACTAGTTTATAAATATACAATATTTTATGAAGTCATATGTATTTTGTGATTTAGTCCCGACTCAAGCTGCTTGGCATAGGATTTGCCCTCTAATACACTTTTGATTTATACAAAACATCTTAGGAATTCTGGTGTAGCGGTAACAGTAGAGCAGTCAGATTATAGATAGTGGAAATGCCCCTTGTCCCTCTGGGTAAAGTGACATACTGTGTGTGCGTGTATTATCCGCCCTACCCCCACCCAGAGCTTTCGTAATTCACTGTTCAGTGAGGCTGCTTCCTGGAACTCCCACTTTGAAGTGGCTGTGTGTCATGCGTGTGCAACCCTCCCCCACTGTGATGTAACCGCTGACTCCTTCCGGTGGGTGTGTCTCCCCCTTCTCTCTGTCTCTCCCTCCCTCCCTCTCTCCCTTCCAGCTTGTCCGGTTGAACCTAGCCAGCCTGTGGGAGGGGAGGAGTGCTCAGCTTCTCCTGCCGAAAGGGGAGACATGGGTAACGCTCAGAAAAAGCCCCACAGCAGAGGGGACGGGGGTCCACACGGTGAGTTTAACAACGCCCACCATGGACACTGGAGGGGCAAAGGAGGCAGCGCTGACAAGTACAAAGTCTCACAGGAGTCCAAGGAAAAGGTAGCCAATGGAACGGGCAAAAGGGGCTCCACAGCTTCAGCCCAGGCTGACCAGAGCAGCAGTAAGGGAACTCCGGTTGGAGGAAATGCATCGGAAAATGTCAACCTCGATGCCCCGTGTGGAGCCCTGCCCCCACATCTGGCCCGGCTAAAGAATGAAGGAAACCTGCTGTTTAAAAATGGACAGTTTGCCGATGCACTGGAAAAATACTCACTAGCCATCCAAGGCTGTACAGATTCAGGTAGGATGGAAGAGTCCTCATGGTTGATGCTGTTCTGATGTTATAGTCTGAGGTGGCTGGTAGTTCAGTGGTTGCTGTATGACAGTGGAGAGAAGTTAACTATGTGCCTCCATGTCAGTAAACATATTGCACTCATACTGACATTAGTGTGTTGTAAACATGCTGAGACTTGTAACAAATGGCCCATAGTTTAACTGACTGATGTTTCATCACCAGTCCCACCCATATGTGAATAAATGTTACGTTATGATGTTTAATTATCAGTGCTTGATACTGTTTCCTGGAACTGGCCAATGCAATTATAAATCAAAGGTCATGCCCTTGCAGTTATAATTCTAGTGCTTCCATTAATTTTGTTGCTTTATTACAGTGCAGGGTATAACAAAAATAAAACAACAAAAAGGATGTTTTCCATGAGAGGCATTATAGCTAAACAACCCGAAATGATCTCTCCAAGAAGCAGTCCACATTAGTGTACATACAGGCTAGAAACAGTAACAGAATTCTGTATCCAGGAGTTGAAATGTTGGGCTGTTTGTTGGTGTATTTAGTGACTTAGTCCCTACAGCAGTGCGTCACAATGTGCCTGTTATTGGTGGTGGTGTATCCTGACAGTGTTTCTGTTTTAGCCTCAGCCTGGCGCTAAGCCTCTCAGCTCAGGTCTGTCCAGGTCACATGACCACCAACCACTCACTGTGAAATTGAATGTGTAGGACTGCGGCTATAATTCTCACCGAGAGGGAGAGAGTGTGCGACTGATGGAGGGAGAGAAACTGCTGCTCGTCCATAAACATACTCTCTGTTTTTCTGTGGACTCCCTTAATGTACTCACTATCCACTGTGCTACTGGACGTGGAAGTGACTGGATATTGACATCATCTGACTTAGGTAGTGTAGGCTGTATTTAATGCAGACAGACTACGGCAGACAGAGAGAGATGAGGATCCATTATATGAACTCATTTAAACCACTTGAACATGCAGTTTGTCAGTCGTCTGTCAAAAACTGAATATTGAAAATCTGTCTTTTACAAGGTCTACAGGGTGAATGGAGTAAATGGATGAATCCCTAGTTTATACATCTAACATACTGTACATGCATAAAAACATGCCAGTTAGAAGATAGGTGAGCACATGAATGCATTGAATTGTAGCATGTGTGAATGCTGCTAATTGTGCATTCGTTCATCAATCTAAAGTAGAGGAACTTTTAGGTTAGTATCTTACCATTAAGTGGTTTTCAAAGTCATGCTTCCAATTCTAATGCAACAAAAAAAGTTCTTAATCATTGCAGGAACCCATCATTACAACGCACATAAACAGCACTAAAGGTAGAGTATGATGAGATACCTGCAATATAACGGACATCACACCTTTAATTGAAGTCCTTATTAAGCAGTACTCACGTGTCTTTAGTTTTTCTTTGTAAGGTTTCACATTAAACTGTCTGATTCGACCAGTAAGAAATGATTTAAAACACATGCAGACTTTTTAAAGTCATCTTCGAGGTTCTTTAAAGTCTATGTTTGCAACTTTTACAGTTATTCTGTATAAGGGATGGGCAAGCCAAACGCACTGTTTCTGAGTTGTGTTTCCAAAATACTACATTTGTTGTATTTGTCTCTTTTTATGCAGGGATTGACAGTCCGGAGGATCTCTGTATTCTATATTCAAACAGAGCAGCTTGCTACCTGAAAGATGGCAACAGTCAAGACTGCATACAGGACTGCATAAAGTGAGAAAATATATTTACTGACCTTGTAACATTGTGTGATAAAATGGATTGAGAAAAAATGGTAGCTGTGGGTGTCAACCCAAATTTCACAATGTACGCTGGGTCTTACCTTGAAAGTCTGACACAGCTTTCCAGTTTTTTTTAGACAGCTGTATAATGAAGCATACCTCAGTAGCAGATTACGATCAGTTTATGAGGGGATCTGCGCTGGGATGTGTTGTATTTTCATTCATTTCTTTTGAAGTGGTTGTATAAGTAGCTAACTCAGGATAACGTAAGGGAACCTCCCATGTGAAAACCTTTAAATACTCAGTATGTTTGTTTTAGGTTCAACACACAAGTGTATGTGTAGAAAAATACACACAGTGCTTTATAATTACACAGCAACACAAGAACACTTTGAAATCTGTCTCTATATAGAATCCAGACAGTACTCAGAGAGTAGCATCTATAGCAGAGGCAGCAGACTTGATCCTTTGCTCCTGTCTCATAATCATCTATTTATACTAACCAGAGCCCTGGAGCTACAGCCATTCTCCCTCAAGCCCCTCCTGCGCCGGGCCATGGCTTATGAGT